ACTTATCTTAAGCAACAGCTAATGTAATACTCAACTTGATGCTTTTCTTACCTGTTTTCTTCGTGATAATTGTTTAAAAAAATTTGGTTGCTACAGGGGAAGGCTGATTTTTAACAAACCTATAATGAAGACTATTCGGGTATTATTTGTTTTCAATTATAGTTCCTTATAAGACTATCTTTCATATTCTTTGTTTTGTACTTGTGGCATCAAGAGATGTACTGTATCTTTTACTGTTGATTAATTGTGTGTTGAACTATGTCATGTCTTGTAGACCTATGATTTAAGGATTTTGATTTAGTCTAGAAACATGGCAAGAGGTTAGAGTTTACATTTGCATTATGTTCATCCGCTATCTTATTTATTTTTGCAGAAGGTGTTGATTAAGTTGAATGGTATCAGGTGAAAAAAAAAGGTAAGAATAAATTTCTCGTATAATTATGTTCAAACAATTGGAAGGCTCTTGGAATACATATTATTTGGGCCGTTTTACTGGTATGTATTATTTTATTTTTTCCTTATCTTCTGTAACTTTTTAATTTTTTTTATGAGGTATTAAATATAATTTGTTTATGCTAGGTAGAAAAAAAAAAGGAATTTCCCCAATGATTATATTCAGATAAATAAGAGATGGTATGTTATTTTGCATTTTTATATGTTTACTCATTAATGAAGGCACTATAATTTGTAACTTATTTTTTTATTCCTTCGTGATGTTTTTTTTTCTTTCCTACAGGTTGCTTATGCAATTGCTTTGAATGATGAATTTTATTGTTGATGCAAGCCATCTAGAATATGATGGGAGCTGAATCATACTGTTGAAGTTTAGAGTTGCTAGAGATTAAAAGTTTAGTTAATCAAGATATTCAAATTTTACATTATAGGACTATGATTCCATAATGTTGGTTGGTTTGGAAGATCCTTTGTAGTACTATGATTTTTCTAAGTTGAATATATTTGAAATTTTTGTTATGAAAATTGAGATTATTGTTATGTTGTGTTTGTTATTTAAATTTGTATTTTATATATATTTTAGTTATATTAGCAGGATATGAAGTGTATATATAATGACTCATTTAATGACATATATAATTGTCTCGAAAAACTGATTAGCAGAAACATGGGTTTCTTAAGAGGACATATATTTATGTCTTAATAACCATTTATTGGGACACAAATGAGTGCCTCGAAAAGAGAAACTTTTAGGGGCATATAATAAATGTCCCAAAGGCTAATGCGACACACAACTACGCGACATATATTTTATTTGCCCCTTAAAGTGTAAATGTCCCAAAATGTTATATATTGGGACATTTTCTTGTGCCCCAATGCCCTGTTTTTGTTCTGTCCATTTTGATTTGTAACCAGCAGCTCGATTTTATTCACAAACAGCATGAATCTTTTACCATAAATATGATTGCTAAGGTATGCAGCTGGGAGTCATGTACAGCAATTGTTTTTATGATGAATAATACCATTTATTGGTAATCGATGCAAGTATTGGTTGAAACTCGGGTTTTTTTTTTCTCTCTCAAACTCGGGTGACGCTCGAGTGAACTCTCAATCAAAAACTTAATAACCACGATCTGCAAATGATAAATCACTGTCCATCTTTTTTACCGAGGGACTTGTAGAGTAATGATTTGTGGGCGAAGGTAGACATACCCACAGGACAAATTGGAGCCCAGCCTGTTTTGTCTCGTCAACCGACCAACCCTACCCGAACCCGTATACCAATGGGCTGTTGCGGGTTGTACTTCCTAAGATCCATGACCAACGGGTCGAACAGGCCGACCCGTGCAATAAACAAATAATCTTTTTTTAAAACAAAATGTTGACTAATGGCTAGTCAAACAATTAACACAAATTGACAGGTCCGACCCAGAACCACCCTCTATGTGCGTAAATATGTATGGATATATACACACGCGTATATTAGAATATAACCGATGAAGTTCACTGAGTGTACCATAGAACAAAGCCCATGCAGAACCAAACACCCATAGTTGATGCAATGATGAGTGGAAAGAATTCAACTCATTAATGATGAGGGCGTAGAAGTCAACCCATCTTCATCACTCCCACCAGCCAAACACAGCATAGGATACTTTTCAGACAAACATTCCTATGTTTTCCCCAAGGTTGCTTATAACTAGCAGAATTGATGTACTAGTATTACAGAAATGCCCACATATTTTTTCTGTTCACTTCTCAATCTTTAGAATGACAAGAGTCCAGATTTTATTTTCTCTTTTCTTAATATGGCTCTCACTTCAACACCGCTACGCTATTAGCTCCACCTTTCAAGAAACTAAATCAGGTAAACTTTCCAAAACCTCCATCCGAAGAAAGAGAGATCATCTGAAGGGGGTTTCTGGTAATTTAACCCAGTTTTCATATAACTGCTCGTCTTTTTTTATCATCTGTAACAGTTAGTTTCAAGACCACCACGGCTGCGTATAACTTGAGAAACAACAACCGGATAACCCCGGTAAGAACATTATATTATATAATTTTAATTTTTATGTTTCTTTCGAATATTGATGAAATGGATAAGAATGTTCCACAAACAGAGAATCGAGAGGGGGACAGATGAGAAGAAGATTCCTAAGAGACCATCTGGACCGAGCACGGTTGGAAATCATCTCCCACCATCCAAGGCCTGATGAAATAAATGTAGAAATAATTCTTGTACAACTAAGTATACCTTATTAATTGTTGGAGGTTAGAAACAATAGATCGATCTTGTGATCGGAGCAGTTTGTATGTTAGTTTGAATTGTTAGATGATCCGATTTAGCTTCTTGTCCGAATATGAGCAGAGTTGTCATTACTAATATCTTCTAAAGTTCGTTATCTTAAGCAGAAACAAGCATGCGTCGGTCTCTTCCTATTTGAATATATTCGTGTCTCTATTGTATTTGTAACATCTGATTTACACAACTTAGGTGTACTTGACACCTAACGAATAAATTAATGTTCGTGATATCAAAGATGTAACTTATACTAATGACCGGCAACAAAATGGTTACTATATATCAAATTTTTCGAATTTTCAACAAATATACAGAAGGTTCACTTTAATTATAAAATTTATTTAGAATCATACCGAACGGTTCCGCTTTGATCGCTTACTTCTCCTAACTGACTCTTATTTCAGCATGTTGACCAACTCTTTCAAAAAGAGATTCAACCATATTCACATTGAAATTAATTATGAACGTTTCATAAGATGTAGTTAGTGATGGAAGCAGGAGATTCACCGAGAACTCTGGTGGGAGAACGACATTGTGGTCACGCAACTTCTTTGGGAGCGAGTCTTCTTAAACCATGCTCATGGACTGGAGTCCTTTCGCGTAGCCTAAGAGACATCAACTCATTAGTCGTCACAAACCCCATTGTCATAATGCTCTCACCACACACGATCTCGAGGTGGGCCTTTGTGTTAACAGCATAAAGGTCATTCTCATAATTCATCACTAACTTGGGCGACTAGGTGCTATTATATAACACTTCGTCAAAACAGACACCCCTTTTCCACTTCTAATAAGTGTGGTCTCCTAATGAGTCGAGTTATCATGAAGTTTGGTCGGGGTATATCTGAGTATGCACAATTGCTCTTGGAGCAAAAGCACCAAACGAATGTTTATTGAACCAATCAAAGTTATTATTGCCATTAAGTTTTACTGGTATCGAGAATTGACAATAAGGGATTCTTAGCATTTATACTGAAAAGCTTTAAGTAGACTTACATAAAAGATAATTCATTATTAATGATTGCAATTAAAGATTTGGATTTTTATCATTTAATTGTACTCCCACTAAATTTTATCGAATTCCACTACCCTCTAGCAGACAAACGAGAAAACTTACTTTTCTTTTAATGGGCTTTAGGTCCAATAGGCAAATGTAACCCATAGTTAATCTAGCCCGATTACATTTGTCCAAAGGTAGATCTCCATCAATCATATAGTTATATGACCCTAAAGATATATTTTCCTCACACTTGATATTGACCTAAGTTAATCTCGCGAATTCAAAATCTTCGTGTGTCAAGTCTAACCTACCAATCAAAGATGCTCATAGAACTAATTATACCAAACTAATGCAGCCCCTTGTTAATCTAGTCGACCACGTTAATCTAGCCTAACCCTTTCTATGGCTACCTTCATTATGTCAATTAAATTACATCTGACCCTACTATAGCACTCCCCGCTAACACGGCTTACTGCACTATTGCAAGGGACTACACATAATCTAACCGTTGGTAGAAGGAAAGAAAAGTTCAACAGATTGGTTTTTCTTTATAGCTTGAAATAATATTTAATAAATTAAGAATGAGGGATTTATTATTGTTTTGTTGTTATCTCATCAGAATTATTGGACGGGTCGATTGGATTCCTACAACTATGTTCTCTAAAGGTATATGGAAACGCATATTGTCCTAAGAGGAACATTCGGCCTAAATAATAATAATAATAATAATAATAATAATAATAATAATAATAATAATAATAATAATAATAATAATAATAATAATAATAATAATAATAATAATAATAATAATAATAATAATAATAATAATAATTAGTTATGAGGATTTGTTTCAAAATAATTAAAGGACCTTAATCAACATAAATCAATCAAATAAGATTAAGGTACAATTAATTAAGTTGAAGTAAAATCATCATTATACATGTGTTTTATTAATGATACTAATTTAATATTTAAATTAATTAATTAATTAATCAAACACTCATTTATTGAACATTATTGATCAATGGATCGGATATATGGATTGGACTTTAATTGATAAATAATTTCAGAAAATTAAAAATCAATTTTGATTTAATTTTAATTTCTGGAAAAAGAATTATTTATTTATTTCCGGCTGTCTGAACCGGTTAGACCCGGTTGGACCGTCATGACCGAGCTGTCCGGCCCGGATAGTTGTTAGAAAATCATTTTGGAATTTAAAACTCAAATCCAATTTTAATTTTAAATCCAATTTCCAATTCCAATTTTAAAATCGATCAAATCCAATTTTAAAACCAAAATCCAATTTTCTAATTCCAATTTCAAAAAATTGATCAGATCCATTTTTAAAATTAAATCCAATTTTCTAATTCCAATTTTAAAATAGATCAAATCCAATTTTAAAATCAAATTAAAATTAAACCAACCCAATTCCAATCTCACCAAGTCAATCAATTCAATAAACTATTCACATGCAATTGAAAGCAATACACACGTAGGCAATTAATTGCGCAACCGTAGCTCTGATACCACTGTTTGGGATCAGGCACGTGTACGCAGCGGAAAACAATTTTTTTATTTTATTTATATAAAACTAATTTATATAATTAACAAGCACGTGCACAATAAATTACAATTAATTGCGTACCTTTTCGCATCCAATCACCGACAAACATGCTCGCATATATAATTTATTTAAATAACATAAATTAAATCATCATAGCATGCTCCCGAAATTAAAACAAATAATATACATGCTCAACGAACGATTCACATAATCACATAATCGAACATATAGATTCATGTGATTCAATAATCAATTAACATACATTAATCTCAATTAATATAAATTAATTAATACATGTATATTAATTAGGGAAAACGATATGTTACCCTTGAAGCGTGAATCGAACGAAGACTCGAGAAGATGACTAGCTGCTCTTCCCACTCATACTGATTCAACCTGTTTGGTGATCTGAAATTATAGTCCTGCTCCGACTTCAATATCTCCAGGGTTATTTATTGGATGGACAATTCCTTCTGGAAGATTGTAGACTTATGAGTCTTGAAGCTTTTTTCAAAATTTCACGTTCATCCGATCACCATTTGATTTATGGCGAATATTCTCGCTGGACTCCGCAGAAAATCCGAGAGCAGTTTTTCAGAATTGCCTTCTCGCATCACCGGCTTGTGGCGGTCAGTGAACTCATCACCTTATGATTACCCACTTATGTATGCCGATGTCACAACACCGTTGAGTGATGAGATGCAGTACACATACACTAAGTGCTAGTCTCGAATGGGGAAGGCCGATATCCTCATTAGTGGCGTAACCCGTTAACTAGGAACGGTGTTTAACAGTTACTATACTTAAATAAATAATCTCACGTTCTACTAGATCTATTTACAGTAATTAAGTAACTGCAAGGACTACATCTATGCTTGTGCAAGGGACAAAGATATAGAATGCCAAAGGGTTTTTTTTTCATTAATAGGAAATAGATTATTTACGAGTAGCGTGAGAAAACACTGCAATTAGTTGGCTCTTCGGTCACCTACTCTAACAATAACATTCAAAGAGATATCTACTTGAATTCCGATTTCACTGATTTAAGTTTTGTTTAATAGAGAAAACATCGACCCACCGTTATGTGTTTGATGATGCTCGGCTGTCGATTGCTCAACTGAAGAGTTGTTTTAGCCCAAGAGAGTATATAATGTTGACAGTCATTGCCGCATGTGTGAGGTAGTCGAAGAGGAGAACACCGCTCGTTAACCTGCAAAATAAATCATGAAAAATTCTAGGTGACACGCAACGGGTGGCTCGACACTTATCCTCCGACACTCACTCCGAAATCGGTTGGAGAGTATAAGCAATCAAACCTTTAACTTTTGAAAATAGAACTTTGATTCATATGCAAATGAACTCGATTATTTATAGGTAATGAAGTAGAATATTTCAATTGTGACACTAACGTGAACAAGAAACATAAGGCGTATGTCTCCCCATAAGCTTTTGAGAAGACTTCACATTATGGCTTTCCGTTGGTCTTTACCCTTCAATGAGGTAATGGGCCACCGAAGGTATTTCCGAAAGACAACTATCTTATCCTAGAAAATATAGTGGCTTTTGTATTAGTTATTGTACTTTATATTAGATGTATTCATTAGTACATTATATCGTGTGCATTAATAGTATTATTAACTTTTTAGCATATTTCAATAAAGATAGTATACGATTAATATTGGGGAAAAAAATAAAATTATTTAAAAATAATACTAACTTCCAAATTAGGGCTAAAATGTTAAATAATAATGATATTTTGAAAGTTCAAATTATATGTAGGTTAGTGTTTATTGCATTGTTAAAATGTACAATTCTTCATAGATAAGGGATTTTATTTTCAAGCGGTTATGAAATTAGAGATGGCCCATGCAGGTCTCGAACCTGCGGCCTTCGCGTTATTAGCACGACGCTCTAACCAACTGAGCTAATGGGCCGTTGGAAATATTTTCAAAGACTAAACTAATGTTCCTGAAAAAATAGGCCGGATTCTCTATCAAGTTACTAATAATTTATATTTTATGTGTTTTTGAATACATGTATGTGTATATTAATTATATTATTAAGATTTTAAATATATTTAATAGATATAGTACAAACGAAATCTTGAAAAAATGGTAAACTACTTTGAAAGTCATAACAACACTTAAACTCATATAAATATTGTTAAAAAAAATGAATTTAATTTATATTTAAGTAAAATTTTATTATTTAAAGGTCGTGCATAAACTATGATTTCAAAATTAGTTAAACATATTATAAACCATATTTTGCTAACTAACACCTTCACTAATGTACACGTCTCTCAATTCGCACGCCTGCCAGAGATTACTGATAAACATAACTACCTCATGGACTAGGACTTAAACACACTAGAAAGAAAGAAAGAAAAAACTTAGAAATCATCAAAAACTTGCTACAAAATCGAGCTCCGACTTCATACGATACCTCAATGGAAAAGATATGGCTTTGTTGCATTGCAAAGTGTTGAAAACAACTAGATAGGAGCTAGGGATTAGGGTTACGGCATACTATAATCTAACTACTGCTAA